AAACATTTGATTCAACTTTTTATGTAATGGATATTCGCCCTTTATATTCCTGCTTGCTAGGCCGACCATGGATTCACAATGCCGGCGCTATTACTTATATGTTGCACCAAATGCTGAAGTATCTAATTCAAGGGAAAATCATCACCGTTCACGGAGAAGAAGAGTATATGATTAGTCATCTCAATTCCTTCATATATGTGGAATTAGATGGTGAATTTATTGAAACTCCATTCCAGCACTTTGAAGAAGTCCCACAAGATGTAGCAGTAACCAAGGTTGTGTCTCATGTTCCCAAGATCACAAGGCCTCCACTCAAGATGTCATCTTTGAAGGATGCCAAGGCAGTGATAGAAGAAGGTGGGTTCACTATTTAGGGACAACTCCCAGATATCCCATAAAAGTCTGACAAGTTTGGCCTGGGTTTCACTTCAGGTGCCCAGAAAGCTGTACGCCGCGCTCGTGCTAGAGGACCACCCTTGAAGATCAGCAACCGTGAAGTTAATGCAGTGGAAGATGATGAAGACAGCTAAAACCTAGAGGATTGGATTTTCCCAACTGTCAGTGGAGGGCTCAACAACTGGGAGGCTAGATATTTTGTCCCGATCACTTTTATCCCATAGTAATTTGTCTTTACATTTTGTTGGATCTGTAATATTAAAACAATTCAGACTCTTAAAACCTTGTGTCTTACCCGAGGCACAATGGTCCATTTGTAAGGGTTATCATCTCATTTCCATATGACATCAATGAATCATGGACGTTTTTTCATACAAACTTTGTGCTCATTGTTTTTCTTTTTTACATTTTCATTTCTTTCAAAGATAGCTATACTCTTACACACACTCACACTCACAATGAAGGTCTATATCCATTCGGGATCCCATGGGTAATGGTTCCTCTATGGCCTTCTGTGACTCTGAAAATATAATCTACCAAGCCGAAGATGAAGGTGAGGAAGATTGTGAAGTACCAGGAGATGTTTCCAGATTACTACAACAAGAAGAGAGAACCATTCAGCCCCACAAGGAACCCGTGGATACAATCAACCTAGGTACCGAGGAAGACAAAAGAGAAGTCAAAGTGGGTGCCAACCTGGAACCCAGTGTCAAAGAGCGTCTGATTCATTTTCTACACGAATATGTTGAGGTCTTTGCCTGGTCGTATGAAGATATGCCAGGACTTGATGCAAATATTATGGTACATCATCTACCTACAAAAGAGGATTGCCCACCAGTAAAGCAAAAGGTTCGTCGTATGCGACCTGACATGTCAGAGAAGATTAAAGCTGAAGTCATGAAACAATTCAACGCTAGATTCTTGGTTGTCACCTCTTATCCGCAATGGGTTGCCAATTTTGTTCCCGTGCCCAAAAAGGATGGCAAGGTACGAATGTGCGTGGACTACAAGGATTTGAATAGGGAAAACCCTAAGGATGATTTCCCACTACCCTACATTTACATCCTAGTTTATAATACGGCACATCACAAAGTGTTTTCCTTTATGGACGGTTTCTCAGGTTACAACCAAATCAAAATGGTGCATAAGGACATGGAGAAAACAACATTTGTCACACAGTGGGGCACATTCTGCTACAAGGTTATGCCATTCAGACTGAAGAATGTTGGGGAAACCTATCAGCGTGCCATGGTAGCTCTATTTCACGACATGATACACCATGAAATAGAGGTCTATGTGGACGACATGATAGCTAGGTCCCAAATAGAAGAAGAGCATCTTGATCATTTACAGAATTGTTTGAGAGACTAAAGAAATACAAGCTGAGGTTGAACCCTAATAAATGCATGTTTGGAGTAAGGTCTGGTAAGCTCCTAGGCTTTGTCGTCAGTGATAAGGGTATTGAAGTAGATCCTGCCAAGGTGAAAGCGATATAAGAGATGCCTGTTCCTCGTACTGAAAAGGAAGTCAGAGGATTCTTGGGACGTTTGAACTACATTGCCAGATGCATTTCTCACCTGACAGCTACTTGTGAACCAATCTTCAAACTACTGAAGAAAGATCAGGTAGTAAAATGGAATGATGAGTGCCAAAATTCTTTTGACAAGATCAAAGAGTACCTGCAAGAGCCTCTTGTGTTGATGCCACCAGTCGAGGGAAGGCCATTGATCATGTATCTGACTGTTTTGGAAAATTCAATGGGGTGTGTACTAGGGCAGCATGACGAGTCTGGCCGAAAAGAGCACGCTATTTATTACCTGAGCAAAAAAGTTTACCGACTGTGAAACAAGATATTCACTACTCGAGAAAACTTGTTGCGCTCTGGCATGGGCTGCTTGCCGGCTAAGACAGTATATGCTGACCCATACTACTTTGTTGATATCTAAAATGGATCCGATAAAGTACGTCTTTGAGAAACCTGCCCTCTCTGGGAGAATAGCGAGATGGCATATGATCTTGACGGAATATGACATTCAGTATACTACCCAGAAAGCGATAAAGGGCAGTGTACTAGCTGATCACCTTGCTCACCAAGATTTGGAAGACTACCAATCCATGAAGTTTGAATTCCCACATGAGAACATCATGATGGTAAACAACTGTGAAGAATTCAGGCCATATGACGGACCTGAACAAGGATCCCGATGGACCCTGGTCTTTGATGGGACATCTAACACACTCGGTAACAGTATCGATGTTGTACTCATATCTCTTGAAGGGTGTCATACTCCTTTTACTGCAAGACTCTGCTTCAATTGTACAAACAACATGGCGGAATACGAAGCGTGCGTCTTTGGTCTTAAAGCTGCCATAGATTTGGGGATCAAATCCTTAAATGTATTCGGAGATTCAGCTTTGATCATTAGCCAGATCAAAGGGGAATGAGACACCAAACACCATAACCTTATCCCTTACAAAGAACATGTTTTGACATTGCTCCCATACTTTTAGAAGATTACCTTCGAGCATTTCCTGCGAGAAGAACATCAGCTAGCAGATGCACTAGCCATAATGTCGTCCATGTTTAAACTTAAATGGGATAACGAGGCTCCCCAGATCACCATTGAACGAATGGATGAACCAGCATACTGTCACGAGATTAAAACTGAAGAAGTAGTGGACCAACCTTGGTTCCACGAAGTCATGAGGTATCTCGAGGCTCAAGAATATCCAGAACGAGCTTCAGTCAATGATAAGAAGTTCTTAAGGAGATTCTCTGCTAAATTCTTCCTTAGTAATGGTATTCTTTACAAATGCAACCATGAATATGTGTTACTTCGGTGTGTAGACAAGGTTGAAGCTGAAAGGATCATGGCTGAGTTACATGAAGGCACTTTTGGCACCCATTGCAATGGGCATACGATGGCAAAGAAAATTCTACGGGCAGGCTATTACTGGTCTACCATGGAAGAAGATTTCTATCAACACTCTCGAACCTTCCATAAGTGTCAAATTTATGCTGACAAGGTGCACGTACCTCCAGTTCCTCTGAACATCTTGACGACTCCTTGGACCTTTTCTATATGGGGGATTGATATGATTGGGGAAATCAAGCCAACAGCCTCCAATGGACACCGCTTCATCTTAGTGGACATTGACTATTTTACAAAGTGGGTTGAGGCAACCTCTTTCGTTTCCGTGACCAAGAATGTGGTAGCCCGGTTCATGAAGCAAAATCTCATCTGTCGGTACGGTATCCTAGAGAGGATCATTACAAACAATGGTACGAACCTGAACAATACTATGATCACCGCCCTGTGCGAGCAATTCAAGATCCATCATCACAATTCTTCCCCTTACTGGCCTAAGATGAATGGTTTTGTCGAAGCCGCGAATAAGAACATTAAAAAGATCATACAGAAAATGACAGTCACATACAAAGACTGGCATGAGATGCTACCATTCGCTCTCCACGGGTATCGTACCACAGCTCGCACATCAATCAGGGAAACACCCTATTCTCTAGTATATGGCATGGAGGTTGTCTTGCCTATTGAGTTCCATATCCACTCTCTAAGAATTATGAAGGATGCAGGGCTGAATGAAGATGATTGGATCCAGACTCGACTTGATCAACTAAACATGATTGATGAGAAAAGGCTTACTGCTGTCTGTTGTAATACCCAAAATTTGTCCTACCCTTCTACTTTTATCTGGTTTATGCATTGTCGCGCTTTTCTCATGTACATATCTCCATTAGGTCATTTAACATTGCATACATTCGCTAACAACATAATTTGGCATGGAATCAATGATATGATAGAATTAGGGTTTCTCTATACTTTTAAGCCCTCGTCTTCATTTAGGGAGAATCAACTGATTTCTTCAACAATCAATGGTTTGCGAGTTTTTTGCAAAGATCAATGGTTTGAAGCTAGGGTTGTGTATTCATGGTCATTACAGACTTTTGTCTTCATCAAATTTCCATCCTGAGACAAGTGTATTAAGGTTTCATTGGTGGCGCTTAATGACTGAATCAATATTCCAATTGAACCTCTTTCCTTTGATGTTTCTAAAGCTTAGTTTTAATCTGAGGATTTCATAGGGAAAAGAGTCATGTTGAACCTTCTTATGATTGATCAAGATTAATGTCAAGAGGCTTGCTATTAAATGGATATAATTCATTTATTTACCAAGCCAAGGTCATCGGCACATTCTCTAATCAATTAAGGCTCGAATTGTAAGGGATGGTGGCATCGCATTCAATGATTCTATCTTTTACTAATTCAATCCAAGATTTTTTGGGTTATAAGGCAATAATTATGGTTTGTGCAAAGAGTGGATTCAATTGCCTTTTATCAAGGAGTTGTGGGAACAAAGTGTAAGTCGACGCGAATTTAAGCATGACTTAGGGATTACTTTAAAAAAGGGATGTGTTGAAAGAGACTCTATGAATTCAATTTGTCAAAAATGGATCAAAGTGGGAAGAATGTTTACATAGGTTTCATACAAGAGAAGACATGGATTCATTTATGCATCACTTAATCAATTAAGTTTTGTGTATGGTTCCAAGATATGTTTGACTTGGAACGACAAATCAAAACATGAAAGTTGTTGGTAAGAATAACCAGGTTATTCACTTATTCATTGCTTTCATTCATCAGAGTTCTATCCAACTTCAGATATTCGTGTTTGTTCAAGGTCATAATCGTGCAAATTTACAAGCCATGTTGATGTTATACAAAAAAACAAGTTACAATTCACAAAGAAAATTACAAGAGGTGACAATATTCTCTAAGCTACATAAGTCTTTTCAATTTACTACAAGAATATCTTCAGTCATCTCCAGGCGACATTGGTTCTCAAATCCCATAAACGAAGACTTATTCATATCTTCATGTTGCTGCCTTCATTACCGAACTGCTGACCTTCAAGATTCCTTCTCATCGCTTCCGTTTGCTTTCATCGAGGCCATGGCACTATGCTCCCGCAACCTGCAAAACCAATCTAGGAAAGCCACCCTGTTCAAGGAAAAAGCTAGCATAACTGTCAAAAAGCATAATTTCTAAACAACTAATTACCAACCAAATAACCGTATAATAGCAGAACCATTTCCTAACTTCTATAACAATAACAAAACAGAATAACAACCTCCTAACCATTTTTCCCATTCCTCAACCATTCCTAACTGTCATATAATTTCCCAAACTGCAATAGCCCAAAACAGAATAAACTTCCCAACAAACCTTCTAACAGATTTCTAAACCTCAACTGTAAAAAACAGCCCTGCACAATAACAAACTGCAAACAACTAACAAACTTCTAGCAGAATAACTAACTTCTATAACAGAGAGCCCAAACAAAATTCAACAAAATACTCCAACTAACCCCTAACCGAATGGAATCAACTGTCAGACTCACTCTCCAATTCCTACAGATCTAACAGCATATGCATAACAAACTCTAATAACTACCTAACCACCTAACAGAATAATAACAAAAGGTCAGAGAAAAACTCACTAGATAAACCAGAAAGAAACTCTCTCTCGACTTCAGGCTTTAACCTTCAACTACCTTTCAATCTTCCTCTTCAACTATCATCATCTTCATTCTTCACATCAGGGGAAGAATCACCAAAAAGCTCATAAAAATTTCTCTCCTCTCTCTTTGAACCATCATCATCATCTTGATACGTGCTCATTCTTTTTAGAAACTCACAAAAATATACACGATCCAGGATTCACACACCAAAACTCAGAGAGGGACTTCAAGAAAGTTCACCGCAATTCTCACATTCTCTCTCTGCTTCATCACCATCACATGTAACCATCACCATCTCCACAGCAATATTACCAAGCTTCCTCATCAATTTTCATCATGCAACAAGATTCGTATTATTATCTTCATCAATTTCGAAACAGCAACAATCACTACTTCAAATCTGCAAAACAAATCACAATAACCACTCATAATTGAGAAAACGGAATCAAACCTGAGGAATTGAAAAAACGTCGAATCAGAAAGTCAAAGGGGGATTGCATGGAGAAGACGCATTTGCTAAAAGGTTGAGTTGAAGAATGAGGTGAGCGAAGGCGAGATCTTACCGTCTGGAGCCAAATCGGAATCATAAGAAGTGGAATCTGCTGGAATCATGTTGTGTGTTCCTTGAAAAAGGGAATTTTAAATCGGAACTTTGTTGAAACCGAAGCCAAATCACAACGGCGACGATGTTGAATCGAATGGCGGTGAGATAAATTACATTGTTCGCGTTAGATTCTGAGAAGAAGGAGAACATCGACCAAGGAGAAGTTCCAGAAGATGAACAAAACAAAGAGGAAGCGAGAGCGAAACGCGTTCAGTTATGTCGGCGGCGGCGAAATCGTTTGTAGAAGAAAAATAAGAATCGCGTTGAGAGTCTGGGATAGAGCTTCGAATCAAAGAATCGGAGAAGAAAGGATAGCCGCCGCGGAGGAGAGAATGAGAGAGGATTGGGTAGGTTTGGGAATTGGGAGCGTCACAAGAAGAACCCCAACGACACCTTTCCACTCCCTTTTAATTTCTTTATTTATTTTATTTTTTATTTCTGATAATAAATAATTGAGAAATGATATATGCTGGATATTGTTGTTGGTGGAATTGGACTTAACTGGACCGAATAAACCATCTCCTTTGGCCCACAGTTTTTTTTGAAGCCCGTTTTTTTCTTCCAGTAAAGAGATCTTCATGAGCCAATTGCTATTGGGATTGACACCTGATTTCTACAGCATCCTGAATTCAGCTTGTACCCCCTGACTCTTCTAATTTTTCTTTTTTATTATTTTAGTTTTATTCTAGTTTAATTCTTTCTTCTAATTGATAATGAAAAATGATACCAAGATAATAGAATATAATAGAATTTTAGGTTTTCTTTTTAGAAATTTCATTAGTTTTTTTATTATTTTCATGTTTAATAATCATTTTCATTGTCATTTTTTTAGCTAAAATTTTGTGATATTATATTGATGTAACTTTCACAATATGGAATGCTTGGAGACTAATATTTTGATCACTCGTGCGGAGCCGCTTCTGTAGAGCTTTCTTATTGCTTGTGTGGTTTTGAAGAGGCAACGGACCTTCTCCGTTCGATATCGTCGCAATCCTATTTTATTCTTCATTTCCGTACTTTACCGTAATCCATGTGCATTCTAATATTAGGTAGTTGTTTCCCTTTCATTCATCCTTGACTTTAGGTCTAACAACGCATGATAACATTAGGTTTAGAAATAGGCTAGTCCCCTTTGACTTTTCTTTCCCTTTTCGCATACGCATCTAAAACTAAACCTTCTTTTTCTTTTCAAAATTCAAAACACCTTAAAACTACTGATGAGAATCACGCCTTTGCTTAGTATGAGAAATGATAAGCGAGTCTCTTCTCGATCTTATTGTTCTTCATCTCAAGTTTAGGTGTGGCTCAATTCTCAAAGAATCCTTTCATGACTAAGTAGAAAAGCGACTAATATCTCTCTCTTGAGGTCGACTAGTCATTATCTACAACAAAAATACAAACCAACTCAAACCATTTGTGCGCTCGAGCACTTTTCTTTAAAACACTTTTCAGGTAAGGACACGATTAATTTACTTCTGTGCCAACGCATAAGTCTCCAAAGGTCGAGCTGCGGTAGAAGGCGGAATTAACTTCGTCCATAAAAACACAAACAAACAAAACATATGAGCCGAACTATGGTAGCTCTGATTCCTCAAAACGGATACGTAGGCATTGGGGTAGGGCCCAAGCGAGCACAATTTTATTTTCCCTACATTCTTTTCCCCTTTCTTTTACATGCATTCCCCGTTTAGCAGTAATGAATAGTAAGCATAGATTAAGCACACACATAAGATAGATAACAAGAGTGGATACCGTAGAGTACTACGGGCATGTGGGGTGCTAATACCTTCCCCTCGCGTAATAGACTCCCTTACCCGATCTCTTGGTCGCAAGACCGTGACTTCTCCCTTTTCAGGTTTTCTCGATGTTTACCTTTCCCTACATGTGGGATAAAAGACGTTCGATGGCGACTTCATTGTTTTGATGATTTTCAGCCGGTTGTTTCAGCTGGCGACTTCACTGGGGAATGGTCGATCAAATGTTGGTCCATCCTGGAGTCGCTCCTAGCTCTTGCTTTCTTTCATTTGGGTGTTTATCTTTACGCTTTCAGTTTATTCATTCATTTTGTATATACTTGAGCATACGTATGCATTGCATTTTACTATTTTCCATATACTACTGTTGTACAGGATTTGCTTCTTGTTTGGGTGGGGATGCTACTATTGAGGTAAAAGGCCCAGTACCCAGGCCAGAGTGCACTAGGACACCTAGGAATAGAGTGGGGGCATGACGGCTATAGGACGTGGTACGATTAGTGCAGTCATGTCGTATACCATGCTCTGATGAGGTTCAAATGAATTACTATCGGCGCCCACATCTGTGGGTAAGCCCATAGCACTTTCAGGCGGACCCGTGATTTTCGAGTTACCATTGTCTTACCCTGACCTAGTTTTTACCCGTGAGTGGGGAGGGAATTTCTATCACAGGTACATATGGTGACTATGTTCAGGCTGTTATTCATATTCAGATGGTGACTATGCTCAGACAATGACTATTGGTTCTAATGGCTATGTTCTGGATTTCTATTATAACTTTATGCATATGCTATATCTTGTTGGTGACCGTATGGTTCTCAGATTTATTTTCTGAGCTCCTGACTTATTTACTTGGAGTTTCTTTCAAGCCTTCAATCTTGGTATTCCCAGCATATTCAAGAAAAGACTCAACAATATCCGGTTCTAGAAGCATTGATCTTGTACTGTTGATAATCTACAGAGTACTCGGTTCTTATATATGAAGAAGCTATGTCGGGCTTTTGATCTGATGATACTCACATGATTCAGAGCAGTGCAACAATCTTATTCAGGAATGATGGAATCTTGATCCTCTTTGATCTCATGCCTTTTCATACATAACATGGCTAACCACATGCTTAACATACATGTTCGGTTATTTCCAAGGAATCATATTTGCAAGTCTTGTGCTAAAATCTGCCATCCCTTACTTGCGTAAAATCAAAATCAAAGCATGCAAATTCCTTGGAAATGACAGAACATGACATGGCATTCATTCATACACCCCATGCATATTCATGCATTCATTATAGGTACCCGAAGATTGGGGATTCTTATTCAGACTTAGGGTTCTATTCAAAGGTTCAACTTGATTTCTCACCGCACATGCTCAGAGATCAGTTATGGAATAACTCCGAGTGGTACATGCAAGCTTTGGCTCGTAGTCAGAAACTTCTTCAAGCAGGAAGATAATGGGTTAAATACTCAGATAAGCCAGGTCATGGAAACTCTGATGATGATGTCTATTATTTCTTTAAGACATGATATGCTTGGTGATGCATATTATACTGGGGCACCTGGCCAATCGAGTGAAGATGGTATGTCATCCAAAGACAATGTCCAAGACAGGCTCAATCCAGAGACTACTGTGTTCACATCAGATCTGGAGGGGAATTCTCTCGCACACTCGAGCATCAAGACTACAGAAAGTTATCAGAATCAGCAAGTACATGCGGAGTCAAGTCTCCTCAGCAATGGCAACCATTGGTTTCTTTACTGCATTTTCATTTGCATTCTTGCTTGTTTGTTTAAACATTGCTTGTATATAGAAACTTGTCTATTTTTGAACGAAAATCTTAATGCAATAAGTATGCTTGTCTTGAAGTGTTCCTTTCATTTTTACTCATCCATTCGTTATCACTCTTTAAATGTTTTACTTGCATATTGATTCCAGATTTCCTAGTCTTATGCTTAGGTAAAGATTCAAAGGAGGATGATGACAACCTAAAACGCAAAAATCTCTGGTTGGTATGCTTTTGGGTAAGACCCCGTTGACGATGTACAGGCCTTGTTTCAATCCCCAAACACCGGAGATATAAGGGAGATAGACCCTCGTTAACCCCTCTGAGCCTTCGAAGTAGGAGTTTCTTTTCTATTCAGAAAAAACACTCATTTTAACCTTGGGACGGGT